CCATTTCAATAGAATGATATTTATCGCACAATAGATACTTCTGTATTTACACTCAGGCATGCAGCGCAGCAAGAGGGCCTCGCCGAGGTTGTCTAGTGGCTACGGTACTCGGCTGCTGACCTGCAGGTCGCGGGTTCAAATCCCGGCTGCGGCAACTGCATTTCCGATGGAGGCAGAAATGTCGTAGGCCCGTGTGCTCAGATTTGGGTGCACGTTAAAGAACTCCAGATGGTCAAAATGTCCGGAGCCCTCCACTATGGTGTCTCTCATAATCATATGGTGGTCTTGGAAACCCACAAATCAATCAATCAGCGCAGTGAGAGTGCAGCTAAATCTACTGTGTGCATCAAGAGAGCAAGCGGGAGGGCACGCTGTTAGAATATTTTCTAACAACATGTGGGAGAGTGATGAATGAGGAACATGTGTGTGCTATTGTGCAGATACAGTCCCTCACTTCTCAAATGTCGTTTGTGCAGCGACTGTTGTGGTTGCGATTGTGTCTCCTGGTGTAAAAAAATTCACCTGAGGAGCAATACACATCTTTGTTGCAGAAGACGTGTGCTACAGGGGGCATGTTAAAACCTCTGTTTTTCAGCCTATCCGAAGCGCATAACCAATGCCTCCTGGAAAAACTATGCCTGGAATGTGCTGCCCTACCCTCAGATTTTACCCTCCTCCTCTTGTACGTAGGCGAGCGCCCCCTGCGAACACAGCAATGCTCTCGCAGTTGGCTTCAAGCAGCTGTGATGTCATGTGACAGAGGAGTATGGTAATGTCACACGACTGAGCGAGCAGTCACACGCGGCGACCTATCGCAACACGCAGCAGTAGGCATGAGCTTTGAGATGGGATGTTGGCAGAAAGCTTCCGATTCAAAAGAAAGTGACATTCCCGGCTAAGTTTTTCAAGGACGCATTGGCATAACATGTTTGCATTAGGGGAAAGCCTACGCTAACTGAAAATTACTGCAGAGTGTAAAACAGTGCAACTAAACAGTGTGTTATTTTGAAATTAAAGAAAAATTGGTATTGAAATTGAACCTGGACACTTTCAGAATGCAATAGTTATCGCTATAGTTTCTTAGAGATACTTTTGAGTATCTGTTATCCTTGTATCAGGATACATTTGAACAACGTACTTGTATTGGATATAGTGAAATACTTTCACTATGTATCGATTATATTGCAATTCTGTGGAAGAAATATGCTGTCATCAATTGTTGGTGGAAATGATCTGTAGTGTTTCAAAGGAGAAAAAAAAGTTTTTGTAGTAAGGTAAAAAAAGACAATGCTAGTTGGCCACTGAGAAATGGCAATAAATGGTTCCCCCTACATGCAGTATTTTCATGTGCAAGCAACACAGTATTTTTTATGTGCAAGCAAAAGTGTTTTGGCACCTAGATGATCAATGAAGAGATACTACCATGTTGCAGAACATTTCCACCCAGGAGGGTGTCATTTATTTGTTATAGCATGAACTTGTGCTTGTCCACAGCAGTAGACAGACTTTTCTCATTCGTAAGTATTGTTTTGAGGCCGAACGGACACTGTCTAGAATATAGCCAATTTGGAATTTTACTGTTGCTTAAGCAGTTTCTGCAACAATATTGTCACTCAAACAGATAATATTGCATGCAAAATAAATGTACACTATTCACTAGTGTTTGTTTACTCTTGGAGCAATATAATACTCAAGTTGCAAACTTTAATGAGTTCCAACTATATTCTCAATATTGCCACTGTTCCATTTTCCTAGTTTTTGTTATCGTCCCAAAACACCACACAATTCTCAGCGCAAACCGCGCCTGCAGTTTTCGAGAAGGTTCCGTACTGTATAGATCATTTCGATAAGATCACGCCCACTGTGCGAACGGTACAGATTGTTCTGGAACCTACGCCACCGCCAGCGATAACGCTAGAACATTCGACGGCAAGAGTATAAATGCCGACGCGCTTCGCCGCTTGTCAGTTTCCCGCTATCAGTCCGAGACTGCTATCTGTGCAAGACTGCTGCTGTAATTGGACTTTTCGTTTACCGGGCACAGGTTCGCCCAAATAAACAGTTAAATCCCAACATGAAGTTTCCTGTCTTCGGCCACGTCACGACCCCGTGACATCTGGTGGAGGTGCTGTTTCTTCCATGTACCGGACGCCTCCGTCAAGCCGTGAACCCAGCCCACCCTGTGAAGACACCGACGCCAGCAACGAGCAGCGAGTTAGCCGCAGGAAACAAGGTCTGCCACCGGAGTACGGGCTTTTACTGGACAAGGCTCGGAAAACAAAGACGTTGACGTCGACCACGGCGACCATGTTAACGCCGGTTCTACCTGCACCATTCCTGCTCCGGCAACCCAAAGAGCCACCAACTTTCCGCGGTTCGCCACTGGAAGACGCGGAAAGCTGGATCGAAAGGTTCGACCGCGTCGCCACCTTCAACGACTGGACAGACGAAGACAAGCTACGGCATGTGTATTTCGCCTTGGAAGATGCTGCTCGGACCTGGTTCGAGAATCAAGAGCGAAGCCTCACAACATGGGACGCTTTTCGCGCCAGGTTCCTCACCACTTTCGCCAGTGTGGTGCGCAAGGAGAAGGCCGCAGCTCTCCTCGAAACCGGCATGGAGATGCCAAATGAAAAACGTGGTGATATTCACGGAAGATATGATTAAACTCTTCCGCCACGCTGACTCCGACATGTCCGAGGAGGAGAAGGTGCGAGGAGTAAAGCAGGAACTCTTCACCGGGCTGACCAGAAACCCGCCTAAGACGGTCGCCGAATTTATTTCAGAAGCATCTACGATAGAGAAGACGCTCGAGATGCGCACACGGCAATATAACCGTAGCTTCTCGTCTACAAGCTACGCCGACATTCAAGCGCTCGAAACCACTGACTTGCGTGAGACGATCCGAGCGATCGTGCAAGAGGAGCTGCGAAAATTACTTCCTTCAGCGCAGCCTCACGTGGAATCCATCGCAGACGTCGTACGCCAGGAGATCCAGCAGTCGCTGGGTGTTCCTCAGCCTCAAGAGCCGCAGCTGCAAGTCATGAGCTATGCTGCTGCAGCACGCCGCCACGCCCCTCCTGCACGCGCACGCCAAAACGCCGCCCCATCGCACTTCCGTCGCCAGACACCACCGCCGCCACCACCCTCACCGACGACCTACCGTTCCCCAGCGGGCCAGCGCAGTGCGCCGAGAAAAACCGACGTTTGGCGCACCCCTGACCACTGCCCACTGTGCTACCACTGCGGCGAGGCCGGGCACACTTACCGCCGTTGCCAGTACCGACAGATGGTACTGCGTGGCTTCGCCGTCGATGCACCTTGTCCGCAGCCAGGGGAACGGCCTCGTGACGTCGCCGACTACCTGACAGGAACTCAATGGACACCACGAAGTCCTTCCCGTTCGCCATCGCCCAGCCGCCGCATGTCACCGCACCCCTGGTAGTACTCCGGCCCAACGCGGGGCCGGTCTCCTAGCCCGTATCCGGGAAACTAAGGGCAGCAACCGGTGGACGTGCGGTTGCTGTGCGACGAACTACCGAAGATCCTCCGACGACGCCGACGCCGCGACGGAGCTTTCCGAACACAACGCCAACCAGGCAAAGCCTTGACGGCGAAAGCTCACTTACCGAAGGTGGCCTGACGACGCAACATGGAAGCAGTGGAACAAGCCGACGCAGCCGTGACCCGACGCCACGCCCTAACTGTAATGCGAGACGGCGAACTAGCGACCTCGACGTTCTTATCGACGGCCACAGTGTGACCACTCTTGTCGATACTGGAGCCGACTATTCTGTCATCAGTGGGTCATTCGCCGCGAAGTTAAAAGAAGTTAGGACAGCTTGGAAAGGCCCTGAAATCTCCACAGCCAGAGGTCATCTCATAACGCCTGCAGGAATCTGCACAGCGAGAGTCACCATTAACGGCCGTATTTATCCTACAGACTTCATAGTCCTACAGCCTTGCTCGAGAGATGTCATCCTTGGCATGGACTTCTTATGCCTCCATGGTGCTGTCATCAACCTAACAACAAAGTCGATAACATTATCCAGAGAAGAAGCACTACCGCCGCGCACGCCGTCAGGACAACATGCCTTGAATGTGCTGGAAGAACAAGTCACCATTCCGCCTCGCTCAAGCGTCATTATTTCAGTCGGCGCTCCTAAATCACCTGACTTGGAAGGCGTCGTTGAAGGCAGTCAGCATCTGTTGGTCACCCGAAATATTTGCGTCGCAAGAGGAATCAGAGCTGCGGGGAGGCAAAGCAACGGTTATGCTCACGAATTTCAGCAATGAGTACAAACATGTGAACAAAGGAACAACGGTCGCATACATCGAAGAAATTGTCGAAGCCACCAGTGCTTTACAGTGCTTTCCAGGGCCGCAGAATCGGCGAGGGCCGATTCTGCGGAACCTGCTCAGAGGAACCAAGCCCCTCCCATAGCTTTCGATGTCAATTCCAGACTTCCGAACGATAAGCAAGAACAGCTCAAGGCCCTGCTCCTGCAATACGAAGATTGCTTTTCGTCGTCATCGAAAATTCGGCAGACCCCAATCACGAAACATCGCATCATAACCGAAAAAAATGCCAGACCACTCCGTCAGAGTCCGTACAGGGTTTTGACGCGAGAACGTGAAGCCATGAAGAGACAAGTTGATGAAATGCTGCGGGATGACATTATCCAGCCGTCCAAGAGTCCATGGGCATCCCCCGTGGTGTTAGTGAAGAAAAAGGATGGGACCCTACGTTTCTGCGTCGATTATCGCCGCCTGAACAAAATCACAAGAAAGGACGTGTATCCTCTCCCAGGAATAGACGACGCACTTGATCGGCTCCATAACGCCAAGTACTTTTCGTCAATGGACCTCAAGACTGGCTATTGGCAAGTCGAAGTCGACGAAAGAGACCTTAAACATCGCCTCCAGACGCCTCCGTTACTGGCCGCAGTCTGCTGCCACCGGATGGCACGAACCTTTTGAGGGCCAAAACGATCGGTTCACCCAATAGCCGCTTAAAACCAGCTTGACCTGGCTGGAAATGTATGAATAGACGGCGACAGAATCGCCGTATTGGAAATTTTTTGGGGACGTTTACGTGGTGGGAACGAAAGGTCTAAGGTTCCTCACCAACTTGTGAGGATCTTTACCGTGCGGTGGTTATTTATCCGTGGTCATTGCTTGAGCGGGAGTTGTATGCATTCGCGAGAACCGCCTCTGCGCATGGATACGTGGTCTCGTTCTGTGATACTGTCTATAAGCAATGTGGTAACGACTTGCCCGATCATGAACACCGTGTGTTATGCTATTTGTGGATGTATGCCGTACGTGTATGTCTGGTAAGTGCATGTGTAGCGTAAGGGTGGATGTGTCGCTTGGGTGAAGTGTATGCTTGTGCCAAAACTTTCATTGAAGCTTCTTCTTGCGTAACTGCGTGAGACAGATACGAAATGCACAACTTGGAAGCGATGGAATATTACCAGGCGTTCACACGACGTTATTTTCCAAGTGGCCTAAATATGCTGTCGCCGATTACGATAATCGGTGTTCTAAGCTATGTCTGTACTTGTGGGTGTATACAAAGAAAAAAAAAGAAATAAAGTGGAAGATATGCTCGGAGCACTATAAATATTCGGTCAAAATTGCCACCTTAAGCGTCTTCTTAAAATTAAACAATGCCGCAAGGCAGTCGCTGCCTTGTGGTGAAGTGCACGCTGTGTATTGCGGTAAAGCATACATATTGCATGCGCTCGTGTGTAAATTGGAAATGTAGCACTGACATTGGGCCTCGTGTGTGCACCTAAATTGTACACGCGCTATCCTCTGCCTCATCAGTGACAACGCGGTAGTCAGTATCGTCATCATCTTCAGCTTGTGTAACAAGCCCAGAACAATTTACCTAGTAAACTACATTTTGTGGCAGGCAATTCGCAAGGCATTCAGATTTTAGTTCATTGCAGGATTAATTCAAGATTGTTAAGTGGCACCCTCAAATAAACAAAACATGCATATGAGAGGCTTCAGTCGTACTTCAAAATTTGTGCCATGCCTAAGTGCAAGGTGGCAAGAGGAAACTGGTTATGACCCGACATAATAGCGCATGTTCGAACGTCTTACATGGGCTGCTTGTTGGCGAAATGGGGTGGTAATTAAGTAAGTGCCTGCAGGAATCTGCACCAAGAGACGAAACCTGCTACATCATTTTCAAAAATTTCATTATTTGTGTCAAGCATGCATGCACTCTTCGTTGTGTTCTCTCAGGGAGCAAGTATATGGCATACGCTTGAAATCAATACGTTACCCCTGCGATTTGGAAATGTCATCACAGTGGACATGAACGTGCAATGTAGTTGAAAACGTTGCTGGGCACCAACTTTCTTAACAATTTGAACCCGCTTATACTACAAAAGTTACCACGTGACTTCAGCCAAATAGTTTTTAACTGTTGTGGTTACTGTCAGATAAAAGTCATAATGAGCTAGTTGTGCTTGGACAACAGTCTTGCTTTACTGTATTAAAATACAGTAATTTAGTACCTGCATATAGAACTGACCACTTAGTTATTTTTTTTTATTTGTGGTCCCATTCGTTACAGTTTACTTTCAAAATATTTCATACAAGGTGGTTAAGTTTTAAGTCCATACAGTGGGCAAATTTTATCAGCAGTACCGCATGCTGTAGAATCACTGTTACTTCTCCTAGAAAGCATGGGCTATTCCAGTATGTCTCGGCTGGGCCTCTCGACCTTGACGACTGTTCATGTCAAACAGCTTGCCAAGTCTAACTACTTATTCCCCCATAACTCTAAATTTTGTCGAGCCATAATAATAATTGGCAGTAAGGACCAGTTACAAAACCCTGTTTTTATGAAGCGCTCATTAATCGGGAACCTAACAATTCTGTACATAAACGATGACAGCAACCACTTCTCCACACATTGAATGATTAGGTTGTACTAATAAAAGCATTAATATAATCAGACTTTTTTTTTGAAAGTAAATACAATGCATAAATAGTCTTACCAGTCCGTGATTCAATATTGTAGCTAAACTATCACTGAAGGCCAGAGTCATTTACAAATGCCATGTGAATTCCCGAAAAGCACTAGGTAGCTTGATATAAATTGGGGATGTCTACAAAAAAGCAAAAAGCCTACGTTTATGTTGAGCAGAAGTCCAAGTGAACATGCATGCATATGTTCATGAACTAGTTCCCTGTAACATGTGGTGCAACAGCTCTAGCTTAAAAGCTTCAGGCGGCTTTTATGCTGCTCCAAAAAGATTTTAGTTGCACCACAAGCTCCGGATATGCCTTTCATGAGTCACATCACTGTGCCTGTTGAGTCTAAAAAAACAGGTTTGAAGGAGATGCTAAAAATTTTTTTGAAGGGGTGAGTAGCAGAGAGCATTAATTTATTAAAGTCTTCAATTTTATTATGTTAGCTCTGAGGCTTGCAGGTATGTTAAATGAGCATGGTCACATGAGTAACACCTCATAGGTCAATAATTTTTTGGTTGACAGCAAGGTATGCATGAGACAGGATTATGTCAATTGTAGAAGTAGAAGTGATGAAGTTGTCGAAAAGACTTTGTTAACAGTACATTTACAGGCTTCACGCAGAATTTGCTTTCTAGCAGGGTGAACTTACTTTTGCTGATGCTTCCGATGGCATCATTGCACTTCATAAGCACTGGTTTTATGCACTGCACGTGACGATCTTGTTTTTTCAAGGTACATGTACTGATTAAAAAGTATAGGATCAAGAAACTTACATGCTGTCTTAAATAATCAGGCTCACCATAGAGGTAATTGGTGACATTTTAGTGAGTTGTATGTGGGAGGTCTGTGTACATAACATCATAGTAATCTTGCAATGCTGTAGCTTTATTTGTGTAACAAGTGAAGCTTTTTTTCCTGTTAAAAATTTCTGCCAAGCAAACAAGTTCCAACAGTAGGATTTATCCTTGGGTAAAGCAGGTGGTAAGAGTGAGCTTATTCAGAAGCCCTTCAAGAGTACCCACTAAAGGAATTAGTACCTATAGGGCGAAAATTCCAGTGCACCAAGAAGGGCAAGGGAGGACGGTGCAGGTTAACATTTCAGGAGGGTATCTTCTGGACATCATCCTTCTCTAGTCACAAGCTTGTATGGCCAATGTTTAGCAGACTCCTATTAACATAAACTAGGCATAAATGTTGCTTCTCTATTGCAAGATGACACATCATATACCTTTTGAGAGTCTCCTCACCACAAGCCCTTACATTATCCTAAAAATATTTTTTTCTACGGTGCCCTTTTTTTGTCCTAAGCAGTTGTCTCAAGCAACAATATGCACATTGGGATTGTCTAGCTGGTGACCACAGAGACTGCTCCAGCCATCACGATGTATACTCCACTCAAAATGTAAGAGACTGCAAAATCATAGTCCGGTGTGCGTGCATACGACCTTGAACATGTAAGCAGTGACCACTTTTCTTGTGTTCTCTGCACTGGGGCATGCTTGTCGCACACCTGTTCAAGATTGTGACAGTGAAATTAGTTCTGGCAATGCTGTCTCAGAGGTAAGACTGTGTACACCCTTAGGAACACCATGGTGGAGCGAGCAGAGGTTCATATCAAATGTATCAAACTGGCAACACCATGGTGATATAAGCACACTTGCAATTAATTACATTTTTATTGAGGCAGACATCACACAGCTAAGCCTAGTTGTGATCTCTTTTTGTTATTGTCTACATAGTTTTCCCGTTGGTCACAGCACAGGAAGAAATATTTCTCTGTGAGAGCACCATATTTTAAGCTTGCATGACTCCAATGAAGCACTGTGCGAACAGATACATTTAAAATGTCGATACTTCGGGTTCCTATAAATGGTGAACTGGTTGTCACATTCAGCCGGTTATCCTGCAGGAGCTTTAGCATATACTCTAAGGTCATTTTGCACCAACAATGCCACATACAATAGTTTAACAATGGTTGTTCATGGGCAAGATGATGCATAGCTTCAGGGAGGTAATTAAGCTAAGGGGAAAAATTATAGATGCCTAAGCACCACTGAAAAAATGAAAAAGCACAGAAAAAGAGCGTCAGTCGCAGCTGAACTACAGAAAATATTCACAATGCACCAGACATTCGCGTCGTCTAGAATTTTCCCTAATAATGTTATACCAACCTGCCCAGCAACAAGTACTTCTAAGGTAATAAAGTGCAGAATCACACTTGCATAAGACAGGAAACACAGGACGCGAGTTAACTGCCATCTATCTTTGTGCAGGGTGTCTACCAACCTGGGAAAGTCGGGGAATTGGGGCCTTGCTGGAAAACTGGGGGAACTTTGGTGAAACCTGGCTAATTCATAGAAACTGGCGGCAGTCTGTGCCACCATCACAACTTACCCTTGATCAATACTCAAAAAGTCACTCCTTCGACTGCAACTACAGTGAACAGCTAGAAGAGGCCTAAAAAAAGGGCAATGCATAACTATTTCTTCTTAGTGTACAAACAAAAGGATACACCGACCAAAATAACAGAAAGTTTATTGATGTTTGGGCACCTAATATTGTTCTGAATGGCAGCCATAAGAAAGGTACATCGTATTTAAGTATGACTAGGTGCGTGGTGTAAGCACCAAAAATATATGGTCAGCGTTCCATAAATCTTATTGAGGATACTGTGCAGCTGTGTGAATGTGCAGGGATTCCAGGTGCTGGCATGATGCAAGCTTGTTTTCTTCGACCAGAACACGGTTGCTTGACCAGTCAATGTGAAAGCCTGTATATTCCACATGTTCAGCGAGGGCATTCAAGGTCACCCATGATTTGGTGACTTCATTTTGAACTGTTGTGTTGTTTAACTCTTTCATTGAAATCACAGCTCTCATAGACTGACATGTTGTCACACTCGTGGCAGACTACAATGTAAAGAAGGACTACAGAAATTTCCGCTCGGCAGCTTATTCTTCCATTGACTAAAGCATTCCTTATCTTCCATGTTGGTACATGCACTATTTTGATGCATGTTACTTCTACATCTCATATAGCATATCTGACTTTCCAAGCACAGTATTTCTCACATTGGTAAATTTGTGCATATTTGTCGTGGCCACAAATACGGCTTGGCTTGAAGGCCTTTTAGTTAGGTGCTTATGTTAGAACTGCCATCACAAGAGGTTTGCTGGGCTACCTCACAGAATTTGCTTACGTGCAGTGTTGTTTGGCATCTCAGCTTCAATGGAAGCGACACCAGGTGCTGTTTGTCTACATGACTTTGTGTGAGCTGATGCCGACCTGATTGCATGCGAGGAGTTCTGCAATGCTGCCAACATCAGAAGTACATGCCACAGTGGAAAAGTAAGTGTATGAACTGGTTCCCAGATTTGGTAGGCAAATCAATAAGGCTGTGCTCTTTCTGCAATAGATGGCACAATACGTAGTGAGCTGTGCACCAGGGTCTCGCTGGCTTGCCATATGTGTATATAAGAAAAGCGCAGCTGAACCATTGAGGGCAATAAAATGGGTTTGTTGACATTTTTTTTCCCTTTGTCGAAGTTCTTGCGATGATCTGCTCATGCTGTGAAAGTAGAAACGAATGTAGGCTGTCGCTACAGGCACGGCTGTCACGCACAGACACCTATGCGCGCACACCAGTCACATGAAAATGCCTGAAAAATCAACATACACATTTGTATAATATGCACCTGCAACATGTATGCCCCACTAGAGGGATGGTTTTGTTCTGTAGCACAATGAAGCTATAGGGAGAGTCAAAGCTAGATTTTATTTTGCTTTTGTTTTTGAATTGAATATTGGAATTTAGTTTCCATTATCTAGACGTGTACTCTGTCAACACTGAAAGCGTTACTTACGTCGACAACTGCAGGCTGCGGTACCCGCACTTACTTCTTTAAGGGCCTGTGATGCAGTGGTTTGTGTCATTTTGAGTTATAAAATAGTGCCTGTACATCCTTGCAGGACCAGTGGTTTAGCTGGACTCACATTGCTCACATACTCAAGCAATTTCTGTTACAAATATATTTTCTAACTTTGCCAATTGTGTCATTGCTTATGTGAGCATGCATGAGGCACCACAGCACAGTACGTCACATCACATAAGCTGCACAGACTGCAGTGAAACAAAACTATGGTTAACTAAGAAAGTAAAATACATGCAATACCTAGAAAGAATCGGTAGCGACACTCTTTTAAAAACCTCAGCAGAATTAATTGCTTCACTGCGCTTAGCAGCTTGGCATTTAATGCAATGTTTTCTCACATTGGTCGGGTATGCCAGGTAGGGAACTTTACCGGCACAGTGTCCCTTGACAATGTCCCCCTTTGCGGCATGTTCCTGAGGACGTGTTCATTGTAGTGTGTTGTTCATTCTTTCCAGAAGCATTTGAGCTCGAAATGTTTTTTGCAGGCAAAATAAGTTGAATGAAGGACCTGATCGCTCATGAGGACTGCTCGCCTCCACTTGTCCGGAAGATCACCATCTTTTGTTGCACAAAACAAGGAAAACTTTTTTCTCACACCTTATACCCCAGGGTGTATTGCAGCAGAGTACAAAACGTTTTCTCCCAATTATGAACTGCAGACGGTGACGGATTCTTATGAAACCATGCGTTAAATAACTCGGCAGCAACTGATGCTACTTATCATTGAAACCCAACAATTACAGCGAGAGCGTGTCACACTCTTTTCACAGTGCTCCCACACAGTCTTCTTTACATTATCTTTTTGAATGTGGTGCCGCCTGCCTTGTTCTTGCATAGCAGACGCCCTTTCGTGGAGAGAGCGCTTGCTTGCCAGGCAGTGCTATGAGAGCTTGCACACCAGCTGTCAAACTCACCATAAAATTATCTAAACAAGTGTCACGTTGGCCAATGAGAGCTCTGTGAAGTGCCGCGTAAGGTATACAACATGTGCAGAGAGCACGCACATTGACTTTCAGTAGAAGCAACAGCTCGCATTGATGCCGCCGACGTACGACGGCGATGTTGCCGCCGGCAAATATTGGTGTTTGAGGAGGCATATAGCTGATACATTTTTTGGGGCACATAATTTATAGCTGATACATTCGAACGGCAGTAGTTATTTCGTTAAGTGGTTAGATGCACCAGCCATATTTTGCAGGAAACGCCTTGTGGTGTCTGACATACAAACTATACCGCTGAAATAACTAGCTAGCAAATTAATGAACTAGCATGCCACCATAAGCGATTCCTTCACAAGAGCTCCAGTCGTGGATATAAATCTTCACATTTATTAGCACGAAGACCTCCACGCGAAATTGCACTTCTACGTGAGGTTCCTAAACGATGAACACACTCATTGACTCAGTAGGTCATGTCTACAGTGTTAAAGCAGGCTTTAAATTAAGCAAGCCTTGACATAACCCATACTCATAGTGATAGATTTGCAACTTAAATCGCAAAGTGGAGTGGAAAATGTCTGTCTGAAATTCTGATTCGATTAAATTGATTGATTGATATGTGAGGTTTAACGTCCCAAAACCACCCCACAATTATGAAAGACGCCGTAGTGGAGGGCTCTGAAAATTTAGACCACCTGGGGTTCTTTAACGTGCACCCAAATCCAAGCACACGGGCCTACAACATTTCCGCCTCCATTGAAAATGCAGCCGCTGCAGCCAGGATTCGATCCCACGACCTGTGGGTCTGCAGCCGAGTACCTTAGCCACTAGACCACCGCGGCGGGGCTGCCTGAAATTCTTAATTCTGATTCTATGCAACCGTGTCTTTTGTCGCAACTCGTTACACTTAACAAATGGCATCACGAAATGCTTTCGGTCGACATGAACAGGCACCGATGGCATCCAACAGCAAGGTCATTCTAGGGTGAAAGGTATTTCGCAGCTCAATGCGCACTAAAGCACAAGTGCATATCCAAAAAACGGATGCGTTGTTCACCATCGAATCCGTGCTTCTAAAGCAAAGTTGGTAATCGAGAGCGGCTGTAAACAAACGAGGGCTGCGAGCAGTCCCACGTGACAGCATCTAGCCAAAACCAACTCGGCGCCAGCCTCGGAGAGGTTCGAGGAGAGAGAAAGAGGGAATTGTGCTTTTAACCACATATATTGTGACTTAACGAAGTTGCAGGGGTGTTTGCACACCTCTCCTACTGGGCGCAAAGAAAAATGAGTATGACAGCAAGAGTGAGGAAAGCCGCAAAGCAAGTTTGGGTGAAGTTGTTGATGCTTTTAACAACGCTCGCACATTCTTTAGCACCCACTACTGTGACGAAGCTATGCAAAGCGTACTAAGTGGTCAGCCATCAAACTCCTTCAAAGCAATGTCATTATATGAAACAGAACAAGGTCACCAACAACCTTAAATAAATTTTAATTGTGCTGTGTAATTGCAAGATTTGCATATTTTTCAGTTCTCGCTGCAAAGAAATTGTGACAACGAACAGAGATTAAGGGGCTCGACTGTACAGCAGTTGCAATAGCTGAAAAAAAAAAACTAAGAAATTTCTGTGCACAGACATTTGTGGTGTCTCACATATCATGTTACTAAATTCATGTTTCTATAGAGCTTGTGTGGGTTCCGGCTCACTCACAGGTAGCAGGCAACATCATCGCTGACTACCATGCCTGAGAAATGTTAACCTGGGCCGAGCAAAACCCCAAGAGCTACTGCACCCGGGTACCGGCATTCGGGACATTACCCGGTTGCACCAAGAGGAATGGTGCAAACTGCCATAACCGCAGCTTAAACTGGCCAGGCAACAGCAGACGATCCCACATTGAGTGCAGGGAGGATCGGCTAAGCATCGCGTCCCATTTACTAATTTTGTTTCCTTCCTCACATCAAACTCCTTATTTTACTTTTTTTCGGCATGGGTTTTGCAAGAACTACTCATGCGAAACAATACTAATATTGTTTAACCATAGCATTTCCTCTACTTTTGACAAAGGCCATATTATTCACTGTATATTTTAAAATTTTGCTAAAGCTTCCGACAAGGTGTCTCATCGCTTACTACTTCTCCAACTTAGTATTCTTAACATTGACCCTAGCATCTTGAACTGGATAACCATACTCAATTTGCAACTTGATGCTGCATCCCCTTGTTGTGATGTAAAGTTGGGCGTCCCTCAAGGCTCTGTTTTTGGCTCATTGTTATTTCTATTTTATATTAATGACTTACCTACAGTAATTAATAGTCCCACTAAACTATTTGCTGATTGTGTTTTATGCCATGAAATCACTAATCAGCATGATAACTCTATTCTTCAATCTGACTTGAATAACATATAAAGCAACTACTCGCAACGGCTTATGTTCTTAAATCCCACTATAAATGCTAAATCATGCATTTATTGCATCGCCCTGACTCGACAAAATCTTTCGGCTGTGCCATCAATAACATCAAACTCGAGTAGGTAGCATGATATAAATACCTCGGAATTCAGATTGCCAATAACCTTTCTTAGCATGCACAGATTGAATACATCACTAACAATGCTAACAGATCTCTCTGCAGTGGCGTACCAATTCTTTCGTGAGTGGGCGGGCAAGCCTACCTCACTCGTCACCAGGGATATATATATATATATATATATTAACCTACAAGGAACATTATCAAAGCGGAAATGTTGGCAAAATTACACTATGTTGTAACATATCCTCATAACAATTTCATTCTACTATAGAAACACAATTGAGTAAATGCTGTTGTGATAAATAATTACACCTTACTTGTTCGTTTCCCCAGCGTGCAGCCAAAAGTGACCACTGTCGAAAGTGGGATGGCTCAGCCCCCCAAGTTTTCCTAATGAAGGGGGGGGGGGGGGGGGGCTCGCGCCTCCTTACTCCCCCACCGGCTGGTACGCCTACGTCTTTCTGCTACATTTGCAGAAGTTTTTCCAACGCTTCATGTCATTTAAAATTACAACTCTACAAAACATTAAATAGACCCTAGCTAGAATATGCTGCTCATCTTTTAAATCTGGTCAAACGATATTAACAACTATAATTGAATCAGTTCAGAAACATTCAGCGCGTTTCACACACTCAAATCATTCCCACTCAGCTAGCATTTCACTGACGAAATCAGACCTTGGACTAACAAATTTGAAACTTCGAAGAAAAATGTCCCATGTATTTCCTTTTCAAAAGATCAGCTACCATAAATGTTCACTTAAACAGGAAATCATCTCGGCATCTTCATACATATCATTGCATTTTCATTTCTTTTTCATTCAAGGTTTTCATTCCTTTTTACTGCACTAATTTTTTTCAGACTCCTTTTTAGCAAAAACGAGCACTGAGTGGAACCGCCTTCCGCATTCTATTGCTTGCATGGAGGATGCGTCATCATTCAAGGCTGCACTAACGGATTACGTCTTCAGCCTATTGTAACTTAGTTTGTTTGCGCATGTATTTTCATTAATATGTTGTATTGCTATGATGTATTTGTTGCCTTTTTTTTGTATAACACTACCCCCTCTGTAAGACCTTTATGCGCCCTGAGGTTAAATCAATGAAATGAACCGCATGTGCCCTGCGAAACATGCCACGCTCAGTTCGTTTTACAAAAGAGAAAAAGGCTTCCTGCCACATATCTTGGCAGATTGCTCAGAACTCAAGACCTCCTTCCTTCCCTTTCCCCTAACACCCTCAATACCCAACCTATTTGGCGTGGGAGACCTTGATATCAAGCCCCCTCCTACAAGCTCAACTTGCACTGACGAACAAGGGCCAAGATCTACTGAGAACATATGGGTCCTGTAACCAGTGAACCACCTCGTCTGGTGCCGGTGTGCACCACCAACATAGTTGGGCTCAACAAAAGTTGATTCATCTCTCTGATTCTCATCATCCAAATTTGGGGCTATGTGGACTCCCCAGTTTTAGTTTCTTGTAATGTGTCACACAGCATCCCACAACAGGAATTTGTTGTAACCCATTCTTACACGCTTTCTCCAAATAAATAGCAGTCCCTTCACTGTTCTTGGGCTAGCTTGACTTTCTCTTCAGCAAATCGGCACTATTACACCTTTTGCCTCTACCAGATAATACATCTAGTGCCGAAACAATTAAAGAATTGCAATTGGAGAACAGACCCTGGCACTCGCTTAATCTCTTGGTTTCCCGCCCATATGGGTGCGGACGTTCATCAGCACGTACCTAACCTCAACGAGCTTGCCCATGACCGTGCGCGAAATCTAACGTGCGGCGGCGGCATGGCGGCCTTGTGGGGTCAGGATGAAATCCAGCATAACAATCCACTCCTTACGTTTAATGAAATCACATCTCACTATCGGTCGGCTAAGTAGAAGGGCCTATTCTCTTCCTCACCCGAAGTAAGATAGGTCTCAGTCAATTAGACTTAGAATGCTCCAGACGGGCTCGTTCCCCTCGTGCGGCCTTCTCAGTCGTATCTCCACAGACGTTGACTCAAGTTGCCCGGAATGTAATGAACTTCATTGTTTCTTAGCGCACATGCTTTGGCAATGCTCCGCGTTACCTAACGGCCCTCTATCCAGCAAAGTCGACTGGGAAGAGGCACTCCGGAGCCCATCGCTCCAGGCAATCCAGAGGGCCCAAGAAAGGGCAGAACTTCACGGTGTCCCAGTCCCGACTTGGACACAGCCAGCGGCTTCCGCGGGTCCCCGATAGGGGTTCCCGCGAAAGCTCGTCAGGCTCAGATAAAGTTCACTGCCTGCCTGCCTGCCTGCC